CTGCGGGCCAACGACAGTTACAAGTGGCTTCTGAGTCACCCGAGCCCTCGCATTCTTCCCCGGGCCCCACCTCAGCCCCCTTCGATGTGGTGCACGCAGCTGCCGCGGGGCGCGTCCTTCTCCCCCCCCATGAAACCCGGCCGCACAGCCGGGGGCAGAGGCCCCGCTGGGCACGGCGCCTGCAAGCCCACAGTGACATTCAGGGACGTCGTGGTGGGCCCCCCGCCCCCCAGTCCCGCACGCCTCTGCCTGGCCTGCAGACCGGCAGGAAGCTTGGGCCCTTGCCCTCTGAAGGGGTCCCCTCTCTGCCCCCATCTGCCGGGGCCGACCTCTCCCAGCGTGTCCCTGTGGGCCCCGCTCTGGGGCTTCTAAAAACAGAGCTAATTGTAAAGCACACAGAGGGTCAATCACGAACACAAATTAAGTTTCCGAATCTATTTTGGGTTGACTGCTGCGGAAGAGCCCGTCCGGCGGGGTGGGGGCCCCTGTCCCCCCCGACAACCTGATACATATCTCTGCGGGTCTGCATCCCCCACGCGGCAAGCAGAGTGTCGCCCGGCCGGCAGGAGCCTTCTGGGGCCAGGCGGTGGCCCTGGGGGCACCTGGGACCGCCGGCCTGGGGCCGGTTCCCACACTGCTCCTTTCCTGGCCTTCCCTGCTGAGCCGCTCGTTGCGCGCCATGGCGGGGATTGAGGGTTTACTTTTGAAAGTACAAGGTGAAGTTCCCCGGAGAGGGGCGCCCACAAGTGGCTCTTGTCTCTGGTGAGAACTGAAGAATTTCTTTCACCGGCTCCGTCCGTTTTTCCGGAGCTATTGCAAATTGGCATCTTTGTATTTATATTTTAAAATGTCATTTTGGGTTTCCCCCACCTCAGAAAACTAGCAAAATCACCTCGATATATTAAACATAAATCCCCGTTCTGGGCAATCAGCCCTGCGTGTAAACTCTTGCCCTTTGGTATTTTAAAAAAGAAAAAAAAGCAGCGTTGAGCCGTGTAAGCTAATCCTGCTGCAGGCTGGCTACTGAGCGCACACAGCCCTGCTTTCTTCACTCGGGCCCGCGCTCCGCGCCATGTGATCAGAATTTATAAACCTTCCCTTCTCGGGTGGGGCGTGCGGGCTGTTTCAGATCATACTTGGCCGCCTGCCCAAAGCCAAATTTCTTTACAAAACAAGGGTCTCCAAGAACCAGCGCACTTTACTGATTTTACTTATTAAAATTTTCCAGATACGGATGCCGTCCTCCATCCTTCTTTGCCCGTCTGGAAACAGACAGCGCTGCCCTGGCACGCACCCCCCTCCTGCGCCCTGGTCTTGGGGGGCTGCCCCGTGAGCCGAGGCGAACTGAAAGGGCACCTCACAGTTGCCGGGGCCCCCTCCTCCGCGCCCACGGGGGCCGGTGCTCCGCACACGTGCTCGGGGGTCTGGGCTGGGGCTTGGCCGACGCTGGCACATTCTGAACTTTTAGTGAAAGACGTAAAACCAGTTAATTTGCAAAGCCGGTCTTGATTTATAGACTGCTGCATATGTACATTTCTTTGTACGTTATATGCGTTTTATTTGCCAAGCTCCGAGCCAGGAGGAGGGGTAGTCTTTAATGTGGGTAAAGGCCTGTAGGTATTTTGGATGGAAAAAGTTTCAGCGCGGCACCAGACGTTATTTGTGCCGTGTTTTCCTGTGCCTCGCTCCTGCCCCCCGGTCCGACCGGGCTGCCCCCGCGCCCGTGAATGGGCGCTTTGCTGGGCTGCTTTTAATGAGGCTCCAGCGCTGCAGACACCACTCCATAAAGAGATAATGCCGATGAAAAGGGGCATTGTCCGGAGTCATGGCTTCCCGCTGTTAGATAAAAGCCAGTGGCAGGCCGACATGTTTGCGTTCCAGGCGGGGACAGCGCCCTGGATGTGCTGGCCGCGTGTCCGTCCCGGGGGGTTGGTGCAGCAGGGCCCTGTCAGGCTGTCCTCCTGCCTGGAGGCACCCAGAGTCGCGGCTCTGAGCCCGAGTGCTTGTCCCCTCCGCAGGCCCATGGACAGACCTTCACGTTCCCCGATCTGTTTCCCGAGAAAAATCACGGCAGCCCCGGTGACAACGACATCCAGGACAAGCTCCTGGAGGGGCAGAGGCAGAGGCAGAGCCGGGACCCCCGGCGCGGCGGCGTGCCCGACTGGTTCGGCCTGTGACGGCCCCAATAAAGTCCTGTGTGTGGAAGCCCCGGGCTGTGTGTCCTCTGTCCCTGGCGTCCAGCGCAGGGCTGTGCCCCGCGCCCCACAGTGCACACGGCGCCTGCCTGCAGGGACGGAACAGGGCCCCTGTGGCCCATTCGGCCCCACGAGCCTAAGGCGAGAAGGTGGGGGGGGTGCCCCCATGAGAAGGGTCTTCGTGAGGAAGGTTGTGTCGGGCAGGTTGTGAGGAGGGGTGGGGTGAGCGCCACGGGCAGGGAGCCCGTCCTGCTGAGGGTCCAGGCCAGCACCATTGGTGGCTCTCGAGTGGGGAGGGGTCCACGGCAGGACCCAGAGGAAGCGGTGTTCAGCAGATGCCAGCCTAGTGCAAAGCAGCGCGTGGAGGGCGGGAAGCGGGAAATGGAGGACGAGGTGGGAAGGACCAGCAACCTGAAGGCCCGAGGACGGGATGATATGGCCAGTGGCCATCGGCACCCTGGGGTGGACGGTCTGGAAGGAGACGGCATCTGGGGACCCACAGTGCGTGCATCGAGGGGCCTGGCCCTGAGATGTGCGGGCAGCCAAGCTGGCCTCTGTGCCCTGCAGGCCCCTGTGGCGGGTGCCCCGTGAGCCCTGGTTGCTGTGCCCTGAAGGCAGGTGGCAGGAACTGGGCCGAGCCTGCCGAGCTGGGGCCGTCTGCGTGTGCGTCTGCGTGTGGGCTTCATGCAGACAGGTTGGGCCTAGGGATTTGGGAGCAAACCAGAAAGCCCTGGGGTGCTCAGGAGAGTCGGCCACACCGGCCCTGGGGTAGGACACGGATGCCACCAGGCCTCGGGGAACCCCATCCTCCGGCACTGCCCTCCTGTGACCTAAGGAGGGCCCTGGCTCTTTCCTCCTCGGGGGGCCTTGCAGGGGCAGGCGGAAATGGGGGCTGGCTCGGCAACCCCCTTCTGCCCTGAGGGACACCCGGACCGGGGACGGCCGCGTCACGTGGGCCTTGCAGCTCCCTCCACTTGGAGGGTGAAGGTCCGGGCAAACGCCGCCCTTCAGCATTGATTTAAAGTGATGGGGAAGGTCCGGAAGGCGACCGGAGAGCAGAGTCAACGGTATTCTCCTTAGAGAAATAATTCATGGGGCCCCGCGGCCCTGAGGACCCCAACTCAAGGCTGGGAGAGCAATCCCATCCTTCATCCAAGCACGTCCAGCACGGGCCGCCACGCACACCCCAGACGCAGCCCAGCGCCTCCGCCGGCTGGCCTCCCTGAGACCCCCGTGTCCCCCCACACCCCCGCCCCCAGAGGCACGGTCATCTTTCTGCCGGGGGGAGGAGGAAGGGGCCGGAGAGCAGCCATGTCCTTGGTCTCCCCTGTACCCCCAGGGCCGGCAGAGCCCCCTCCGCACCCGGGGCCCAGTGACGGGCCCAGGGGAATGAGGGTGGAGGAGAGGACAGCTGTGGGGGTTGCCTTGCAGGTCCTCAGGAATCCAGGAAGTGGGCCTGCAGCTGGGGGGCTGCTCTACCCCCACCCCAGGCCCGGAGCCTCAAGGAGGAGCCGGCTGGACACCCCTTCCCCTCCGAGCTGCTCCCTGGCTGGAGGCTGAGGAGGGAGAGGGCCTGGGCCTTGCGAGGTCCGTCTCTGCCCCTAAGACAACGGCCCCACGGTTGTCCTGGCCGTGACTCAGTGTCCCCTTGTCCTGCACAGCGGGAGACAAACTCCAGATCTCTGCATGGGGGCCAGACGGGGTCTCCCACACTGCGAACAAACACCCAACGGGCCCCCCTTGGCCGGACACCTCACATAGGGCTGGGCGTCCCTTCCCATGGGGATGGTCCTGCAGGGAGCACGCAGGGCACCAGGTCGTGGGGGGAAGTCCACGGACAGAGGGAAGGAGGGAGAGCCCCCAGTGCTTCCCCACCCCCCGCGAGCCCCCCATCTTCTGGGATGTTCGTGTGTCGCCATGTGGGAGGTCTGTTTACTTTGCAAGGGGAGTGAGAGACCGGGGGACGCCAGGTTACAGCAAAAGCAGAGGCCAGCAGGGCAGGGCTGAGGGGGCTGGGGCCGGGAAGGGCCCTGGGGACTGCCACGTGCTCTGCTCAGTTCCTGGTCTGTGCTGATGAGTTATAGCTGCAGCGGGCGGGCCCCAGGCCCCCAGGGACACATCCCAGGCCCCCCCAGCAGCTCCAGGTGAGGCCCAGCCGCCCAGGGCCGCCAGGAGGGAGCGGAAACCCATCTGGCCACAGTCCGTCAGCGGCTGGTTTTCCTCTTCTAGGGCCGACGAGTCGTCCCCAGGGCTGTCTCCCCAGCTCCTAAGACATGGCTTAAGTCTCTGACTGCAGATAACAGCGGGGAGCTGGGGCAGGGGCCCCCACCCCTCCCACCGGCCAGGCTGCGGGGCCCTCTGCCAGGAAAGTGCCCACACAGCTTCCACAGCCCAGAGCCCCACGTCGGAGGGGGGGCTCCCTGCCTTCTGGCCCCCGTGTGCACCACCTCCCCAAGAGCCCCCTTCCCATGGGCCCCCAGCCCCCCAGCCCGGGACCCAGGCCCAGGGACGCCGCACTTCCCCTCATCCCCCACCCACCCCTCCAGGGCCTCCTGGAAGGCACCTCTGGAGTGACCGTGCTCCCCCCACTTCCTGGCTTTCATGTGACCCTAAATTCTGCTAGTTTATGCAGGAACATAACTGGGGAACGGCCAACCCCAGTGAGCCCGCCGAGCCAGACGTGATGGCCCCATGTCCCACCCCGGGAGCAGGGAGCTGGGTGGTGAGCTGCCGGCCCCCGGCCCCCCGCTCTCGCCTGACCCGGGGCCTCCCTCCTGGCTCGCAGGGCAGGGCATGCACGTCCTCTCCTATCTTCAAACGGCTTTATGGAGACATAGTTCACATACCCCACCACCCGCCCACTGCAAGTATGTCGTGAGGTGTCCGTACTTTCGCAGAGCCTTGTCTCCATCCTGTGATCCCTTTCAAAACATGTTTGTGTTGTCCAGAAAGCAGCCCTGTGCCCTGCGGCCAGCCCTCCTCACCCCCCTCACCCGCCCCTGCTGGCCACAGCTCTGCTCTCCGTCTCTCCAGGGGCTCGCCTGCCCCAGGCGGGCGCGGTGGTCGGCGCGGCGGTCAGCGCGTGGTCGGCTTGGTGGTCGGCTCGGTGGTCGGCTCAGTGGTCGGCTCAGTGCCCCCAGGTTCGTCCATGCTGTGGCACGTCGCAGGATGAGCCTTGGAAGGCCGCGTAATGCTCCGTGCTGTGTGTGTCCACGTGGGCGAATCCATGCTCTGTGGCAGACACTGGGGTTGCTTCCTCCGCTGGGTCTGCGATTTTGGGGACACACGTGTCTGCGTTGTCCAAGGAGGGGAGGACTGGGTGCTTTTCCCGGAGTGTTCCAGGCGAGCTGGGGGCAGCCTGGCCATGGTGGAAGGATTGTCCCTAAACATCCGTGGAGGCTGCAGAGATGGGCCACGTGCACGGCCGACCCCACCAGTGAGGCCTGGATGGGGCGAGTGCCCGGGAGAGGGGCTCTTCAGGTTCGGGCAGGAGCCGGGGCGTGGGGGCGGGGAGCCTCCCCTCCAGCGAGACTGGCACTGGGAGGGGCTTCAGCCCTGGGGACCCCAGCCCCCCTATGGCTCCTTCCCTGAAGGCTGCACCTGGGGCCCCCTCCCCTTACATGCCACCCCGCCCTCACCCTCAGGAATCCTTGTTTGCCCAGGTGTGGGGCGGCCGGTAGAGTGGGCTGCTCCCCACACGTCCGGGGGCCCCGGGCCGAGCCCCGGTCGCCTGTGTGCAGGTGCCTGCCACATCTTTGCAACTGACTCAAAGTCCCTTCAGGGCAAAGAGGAGCCCTCCTCTTCCCACCGCCCCACCGCGCCAGGACTCCCTCCGTGGCGGACCCCCAGCCACACTGCAGGGGGGCCCCTCTTCCTGCTGTTGCCCACCTCGGGGGCTCCACAGCTTGGGGGTCGGAGGGGCCAGGCCTCCTTGCACCAGCTCGGCCCGGAAGGAACAGCAGCCGCGGTGCGAGGCTCTGCTGCCCGCCGGCCCGCGGGCCCCGGGACTGGGAGACCAGTTCAGCATCTGCATTTGCTCCTTCCCGACTGAGGTCATCCCAGCACAATCCCCCAAATCACTTCATTATTTCTTGGTAAATAGGGCTTTTCCTAGTCAAAATCATCAGCATTTTTGTGTTGCCCCCACATCTGGCTTTGATTGGCCCCGGCCTCCTCGGATGGATGCTGGAGCCCTGACGTTATGGTGAGGGAGGAGAGGCCGGCCTGCTTCCCTTCCCGCTCAAGGCCTGGCCCGGGGGGAGGGGCGGGCGGGGGAGGGAGACCCCAGGCCTTTCCCCGCACGTCTGTGCGCTCTCTGCCTGGCCCCAGGCTCTGCAGGGGGAGCCCCGGGCTCTGCCTCCCTTGGCTATGTTCTCAGCCCTCCCTGCGCAGAGTCCCCGGCCCCCTGGCCCCCTGGCCTTCTCCTCCTCGGTGTCCCCCACACCCCAGGACAATGCGAGCATTTCATCCCAACCCCCCCCCACACACACACTGGGATCTCTGCCACCCCCTCTCCTTGAGGGACGCATGACAGGCAAGATCCCCTGACCACCCCCTGCCCCCGCCCCGCAGCTCCTCCGCATGGAGCTCAGAGGAAGTCCGGCGAGGAGGGTCCCCGGTGCGCCTGCCCCTGCAAGGACAGGAGTCTGCAGGGCTGAGGTTGGACCGAGGTTGGGCCGAGCAGCCCTCACTCCTTAGGGCAGCAGGAGGCTAGGAGATGATTCCACCAGGCACCCCCCTCCCCACGCATGAGCACCATGACCCTGCACAGCTATCTGGGTCCCCGAGAGCATGGTCCTGGGACATTCCCTACGGTGCTGGGGGCAGCCCAAAGACCACCCCTGAGCTGGTGACCGGGCGGCTGGGGGGCAGACACCTGTGACAGGCCCTGGGGGAGCAGGACAGCCTCTGCCCACGGCCCGCCGGGGAGGGGAAGCTCGAAAATCCTCCAGAGGGAGCTGGGGAGACCCCCAGGTGGGTGTTCGCGGGGGGGCCCCAGCCCCCTCCCCTGGCCGCTGCAGGCCTTCCCTCCCCGCCGCAGGGGAGGTGCCTCCCAGAAGCCTTTGCGGCGGGCCCAGGGCAGGGGTGACGCGCCCCCTTAAACAGAACAAGGTGCTGGCCTTTCATACCTTCACTTTACGAAGTGTTGGGAATTCCGAGGCCCAAACAGCTGGATGTTCCTCAGCAGGTTCTCCCTGGGACTTCACCGGCGGCCAGGCCCTAAATAATTCTTATAAAAACCACGTCAGCCCCCAACTGTGTGATATCTGATTTGTAGCACTAATAAAACCCCACGTCTGCGAGCCCGGCGCTGAGGACGCCGCTTCCCGCCGCTGCGTGCGTTCACACGTGTGCACACGTGTGTGGTGTGCACGCACGCGCATGCCTGTGTGAGTGAGCGGGTGAGTGCGGGGAGCCCTGGGGGAGGGGTGGCTCCGGGGAGTCCTGCCTCGCTGAGCCCCGCACGCCCACTGCCTGCCTTGTTCACCAGAAAGCTGCGGCTGGTTGGCCGGAGGGTGCAGCCCCTGCCTGAAGCTGCACAGCCCTGGGGAGAGAAGGCAGTGCCAGGCCGTGCTCAGAGGGTGTCCCGCTCCCCAGGCCCAGTGGGCAGCGTCAGGGGCAGCCCCCCGCCCTCAGAGCTGGGGCCGCCCCCCGGGCTGCTCTCAACTTGGTGCCAGCCCTGAGCGGTGAACGACGGGGCTCCCTCCCTCCAGCTACCCCCTGCTCCCAGCAGCAGACCTGGGAGGTCCCAGGTGACCCTGGGCCCAGAGTACCACCAAGAATGTGCTCCTGGCCCCTGAGTGGCCTGGGAGCCCGGAAGCACCCAGCTCGGGGCCATCCATGGGGGAGTCTTGATGCTAAGCCCCCCAGGGCATGGAGGGGCACCAACAATGACCCATCAGCAGGGTTGGTCATTAAAGGCCAGATCAAAGGCCTCCCGAACACATGCGGCTGGCTAGGGAGGCCGGCCGGGGCAGGGGCAAGGGTCTGCTGCAAAGGCACCCCCGCTTCTGGAGCCATGGGCTCCGGGCCTCAGCTGCCCCGGGGGGCTCCCTCCGCTGTGCCCTCCCAAGGCCACCCTGCTCTCCAAGGCCACAGCACCATCTGACAGCAGGAGATGGAGACCCTGCCCGTGAGGGGCCCAGCCCAGTGTTCAGGGGGCCAAGTGGGGCTGCCCGGGGACTCGGGGCACTGGTTCCTGCCACCCAGCTCCTGATGGCAGGCAGGGGCCTGACGGCGCGAGGAAGAGCGCACACGGCGGTGCCGGGCGGGAGGGGAGCGGGCGCCGGCCCGGCGCGCTTGGCCTGGCATGCCGGGCCACATGCTTGCCCACGGGGCTCATGGAACATTCTTGCTGGGGGCCGGGGGCCGGGGGCCAAGGTGTGGGAGGCCCCGGAGGGCGCCGGGCGCTATAATGGCAGGCAGACAATGGCCACCGGCCCCGGGCAGGGTCCCCTCGCTGCTCTGGGCCCGCCAACAGTGTGTTTGAGTGCAGAGCAGGCTTAGAGGCCTTGCAGACAGGGCTGCCGGGGCCAGGTTCCCGGTCTCCCCTCGAGCTTGTGAGGCCCTGGGCTGTGGGCTCATCTTTCTTTGTGTGAAACATGGGAATGTAACGCCGGCCAGGGAGGAGCTGGAGGGCCCTGCTCCCAGGACCCCCGACCCCTGACGTCAGGCTCTCCCCTCCACTCACGCGTGTCCCAGTCCTGAGTGCCAGCCCGGTCTCTGTCCCGTGGCTGCCCGACACCATCTCTACCACCATCCCCCCACCCCCCCCCCCGGGGCTTGCCACGTCCTGTGTCCCTGTTGGGCGTGGCGTGCGGGTCTGGGATGAGCAGGGGCTCACGGGAGTCGGATGATCCTATTGTGGGAAGGCGCATGGGGTGTCTAACCCCGCATGAGATTGTCCAGGCCCAGGAGGCGGTGCTGGAAGTGGGCGCCACACACCCAGCCGCGAACCCATCGTCCCTGCCCCATGGGCCCCAAGTCACGCCACATCCTTGGAGACGCCATTGGTCCTGCTGGCTGAGGACAGAAACCTCCCTTCCTGCTGGCCTCTGACCCTGGGGTGACAGTGGCGAGGTCAGCAGCCCGTGAGGTTGACCCGCCCCATCACCGAGCTGTTTGTGGCTGCAGAGCCAGCCGGTTCACACAGGAATTCCAGCGATTCCATGCTCCCAGGGTGTCAGGCTCTGGCTCAGGCCTTGAGCAATCTCAGCAGTACCTAGGGGTGCCCCAGCCCCAGCCCCGAGTGCTTCCTCCCACTGCCTGGCCGGGCCCTGGCATCTGAGGCGCCCCCTCCCTGCTCCCCTCCCTGGCTTCGGGGGACCCTCCAGATCCCCTGCCCGGTTTCAGGAGGCCCACCGACGAGAGAGGCTTCACGCCACTGCTGGGTTTTTTTCCCATTTAAGGACACAAGCCCATGGTTACCTGATTCCTTCCTGTGCGCACCCCCCCCCCCCCAGCCCCAGAGTGGGCACGTCCCTCGTCTGGGCTGGTGAACTTCTCTCTCGCACCCCCCGGGAGCTCCTGGGCGAGAGGTGTGTGAAGGAGGGGGTAGCCGGCCACCTCGCCCCGCAGGCCAGGCCCTGAGGGTCTTTGGGAAAGGACCCTGGCCCCCCGCCCACTCTGGGGTGCAGGTGTGGCTGAGTGTCCCGTGGGCAGATTGACTCAGAACTCCAGCACTGAGGCTGTGGGCCGCGTGTCCCCAGAGTCCTGGTTCCAGGACCCGCGGACCCACCCACCCAGGTCTGCCCTGCACCCGGGGCCACCTGGCACGTGACTGTGCTGAGCTTGTCCCTGTGCCCCCAGGACGGGGCAGCACGAGTTCTAGAAGGTGCCTCCTAAAAATAAAAACTGGGCAAGAGGCCTTGTGGGGCTGGTCCTGAAGGAGGCCCAGTGGGATTAGGACCAGCTGCTGTTCCCATAGTGCCTGTCCTCACCTCCCAGAACATCCCCTGCCTGCCCCGTACCCCGCCTCACCCCGGCTAAATCCGCCTTGGCCCCTTGGCCGGGATGGAATGGGAAAACTGCTCTGAGCCTCCTGTGGGGCTTAGGGGGTAAGTGGAGCCGACAGCTGCCCGAGGAGAGTGATGAGGGGCGCCAGGAATGCCCTTTATCTGGAAATATCGTATTGCCCGCCTGGATGCCGGGAAGCCCGCGGGCTGGCCCTCCCCGGCTCCTGCTAAGACAGGAATAGCTTCGGGAGGCGGGCGCAGCTGTCCGCATCGCTCAAGAGGGCTCCTGCCAGAGTGGCCTTTTCCGAGCCCCCTGACCTCGGGCTTTCCCAGGGGGCTGCTGACCGGGGGCTCTCCGGACCCCAGGCCCCGGGGCCCCCGGAGCCCCCAGAAGCAGGCTGGGGGGTGGGAAGGGGACCCCAGTGACATGCGTGCGGCCCCAGCCCCGGTTCCTGACATGAGCTCCTTCCTCCTGCATTAGTCCCCGTGCCCTGGGGTCCCCCCACCCCAGGCTGGGGTGCCAGGCGTGGGTCCCGGGCCAGAGCCCACAGGCAGCGCCGCCGCCCCCCAGAACGAAGGGGTCAGAGATGGCAGCGTGGCCCGCCGAGTGCGGGGTGCCGGCCGTGTGGGGCGGCTGGGGCGCGGGGCGGGAAGGGCGCCCGTCGGGGTCTGCTCGCACGGACCACATGGAAACGCAGGAAGCCTCTCGCACCAGGAAGCCGGGGCCTGACGGCGCGAGGAAGAGCGCACACGGCGGTGCCGGGCGGGAGGGGAGCGGGCGCCGGCCCGGCGTGCTTGGCCTGGCATGCCGGGCCACATGCTTGCCCACGGGGCTCATGGAACATTCTTGCTGGGGGCCGGGGGCCGGGGGCCAAGGTGTGAGAGGCCCCGGAGGGCGCCGGGCGCTATAATGGCAGGCACGGCGCACTTAGTCACCTCTGAGGTATGGCTCCCGGCCGCACCCCATGTCATCGCCACGGCAACGCCGGGAGGGGCCAGCAAACAGCCCACAACAGAGTGGCGCCCCCTGACTCCCGGTCGGTCGTCCCCTCAAGGGGGTGGGACGGCCTCGGAGACACCGCCAAGTTTGGGAGAAGAAGCTTGCAGCCTGGCTCGGCTCCAGCCGTGACCTGGGACCTGGGTGCCCCTGTCCTGTCCCTTGCCCTGCCCAGTCCCAGGCCAGGACACCTCGCCGGGACCTGGGCCCTGGGGGCTGGAGGGGTGGGAGGGGGGCTGAGGAAGCCAGGCCCCCCCAGGGTTCAGGGTCCCCCAGCATGTTGCAGTTTGTCAAGAGTGGAGCTCAGGCCACTGGAAATCCAAGTTCTGGGGGCCCTCGGGCCATCGGCTCACAGGACAAGCAGCCCCCAGTCCGGGTCTCCTGCCGTTAAGAGGTGGGGGGACCCGGGGGCCCTGCCACAGCTCCCCCATGCCCCAGCATGTTAGGGTCGCAGGACCCCGCAGAGCAGGGCTGGGGAGGGTCACCGGACAGAGCCCCGGGGCAGCTGCCTGATGGGGGCAGTAATGTCACGTGCTGAGGAGGGCCGTCCCCGGGCGGTCTGCAGCCTGGGGGGCCCTGCCCCCACGCCAGGCCCAGGCATCCAAGGTGCCTCCAACCACTCCCTCGCCTGGAATGCGGTCCCAACACTTGGGGGCTGGCCCCCACGCACCCAGGGGCCTCCCCCCTTCCAGAGTTGCCTGCCCAGCCTGTGCCGTGCCCCTGGTCAGGGGGTCAGGGGAGGCCTGGGGCCCAGGGTCCGGCCGATCTCTGAGGGCTGAGGCCGAGACTTTGCTCCCAGGGGGGATGGTTGGGGACCCCTTAGAAACGTTTCATCTGCATCACTGGGGAAAACCAGGCAAGCACAGGTTGGGGCCCTCTGTTCGCCTTCCCCCAACCCCAAGCAGAGGCTAGCACCGGGGGCTGAGCAGGGCCCTTCACGATGCCCAGTGCCCCCTCCCAGGGTCTGGGGTGGCGGGAGACGGTGTCCCCCAAGGACGTGGGCCTGGAAGCACAGATGTGCATGCGTTGTCTCCCCCAGGGGCGGCGCTGCTGGTCTGGAAGGAGAGGGACACTGCTTGGGGAGGTCGTGTGTGGCCATGGCCAAGCTGTCCTTCCCACATCAGCTGTCAGCAACCTGACCCGTCCGGCCACGCAGGCCAGGAGCCTCGAGGCCTAAATTAGGGCCTGAGGGAGAAGCCACGGGCATCACAGGGACACCTGAGCCGCCCTGGCTGCAGAAATGTCTGGTCCCAACGCCAGAGAGGCCAGTCCACCCCAAGGGCGGGCGGGAGACCGGCATTTTCAGAAGTTCGAGGTTGCCCGCCTGGGGGTACCCCCGGCCTGGCCCCCTGCCTTTCTGCCCCTGCAGAGCCCACGTAGGCCCAAGCCCCCGGCCACTCCCTGGGTTAGAGGGATCCGGTTCTCCGCTCCTCAGGGGGCTGTGTCTTATCTCTGGGAAAGAGGTTACGGGTTTCTGACATTAAATTTTCATGCTGAAATTTTCAGCATGTAGTTTGAAAAGTATTTTCTTTCCAAGGAACACCTGGAGGGGAGGGACGAGAAGGCTGTCGGGTCTGCTCACATGAGGCTGACCCTGAGGGCGTGCTGTGTGGAGGCACCCTGCCCCCACGGTGCTGGGAACGCCTCCCCTCCCCGAACACGGTTACCGGTTCGGCCACGAGAGCCTCCGCGGGCCGCCCGGCCCCTCGACCGCTTGGCGGGAGCCGAGTGAGCACCAGCATGGGGTAACTCTGCGTCTGGTGCTCAGCCCTACACTGC